ATACGTTCGAGGTAATAATACCTAATCTATATTATTATACTTTTAAATGCTTGTTGTGCATAGAAAATATTAAATAATAATATATACGTCATTAGTATTACTATTATTAGCAAAATGATTAGAGCCTCTACGATTAATATTTCTTAAATCACAACAAAATAGGTAACTAAAATCATTGGAGGAAAATATCGTCGATTTTTTTTGTTCAAATGTTGTTTAATTTTGTCGAATTATTAACTTCAAATGTGTATTGTGTATTTGATAATTTTAAATCGCTGTAAAAACAACTTATAAAGAACCTTTTATTCCATTTCCCAGATTTTTGACCAAAAGTAAATTCTCTCCCCAACTAAACCAAAATTCTATCTACGACACAGGTTTCAGCAAACCTTATATATAGGTATTTATTCATATAGGTTTATGGCTAAACAATTGTACGTTCATTATTAAATATTAATGTTTAAAACAAATTAGTAATTACTTATAACTTATAACTTATAATATTATTAGGTATCTAGATTGTAGTTGTATGCGTTATTTGAAAGCTTATTATAATATTATATTATATTATATTATATAATGGTTCACGAACGACGAGAATCCAAATTAATCCCGAATCAGTAGGCATAGTTATTACGTATTTCAACGGGTACCTACAGCAACACAGCGTACTACCACTACGTATCACGATTTAAGATATATCTTAAATCGTGCTACGTATAGGTACCGTTACCTACCGTATACGTAAAACATTGCGACTTAATGTAGGTATTTTAGAGACTCTTATAGTATAGCCGTATAGGTATCAAAATCAATTGTATAAAAAATAGCGTATCTGAAAAAAACTTTAAAAATCGTAAATAGCTTTGTAATATTTTTTAATTTGGGTGCGCGACACGCCGACACGGTCGATCAAAAGAGCGCAAGACTTGCGAAAAGCGCGACCTCTCACGGCTCGACATCCGTAAAATATGAAACCATTGCGATCGCGACAGATAGCGCTTTCGGGAGACTACGGACGGTACAGGCATGATTCTCGCTAGACAAAGGGTCGCCGGCACCGGCAGTCCTGATCGTCAAGTCGTGTGGCCGGAGCTGATCTGGTGTTTGCAAGTGTGGGACCGTAGCCGGGGCTTCAACCGTCTAGAGATGACCCTTGAGCGCCAAGTGGTGCCTCGCCCGAACGTTAATACTGCGTGTTTGCGATCCCAGATACGGTCCACTTAAACAATGCTGTACTAAACCGCACCAGGTCCGTGTGGTCGCTACCTACGGTGGTTGCTTGATCGTGCGGGCCTTCAACCTAACCTGGATTCTCGTCCGGAAACGGACTTGAATGAGCGCGGTTCTGTTGATCGGAACCGCGTGTGGTGGTTAATCCCCCCCAAACGCCGACACCCACTTGAGTCACTTCAGAGGGTGACGTGTCGGTTCGTCCGATTCGTAGCCACGTGTGTACCGCTGTCGGGTGGTCGGCGACAGAGCAATCCACTTGCGCCTCGGTAAGCAGCTGCAGTCAAGTAATACTGCAGAAGCGATCCGGCGAGGCGTACACATTACACAAGCAACTTAAATTACTTGAAGACGGAATTTCGTTATGTTATGGAGATTGAAATTGAACTGCTCAAATATGATATATATATGTACATGACAAAATAGAATATAGATATGTTAGCAACTTTTTGATACACATCGTGTTCGCCAACCACTCCACACCCCTACTATCCCGTATATTAGCTGGTTGAGCCTTGTATTAAAATATGTTCAAGCTTTTTTACCCAACAAATGAAATCGTATTGATTAGAAAAAAAATTAATAAAATCGGAAACTGAAAATGTCCGTAAACAAATCAAAATATTAGAACAGTCGGATATAAACAACCAGTAAAAAATTGCATATAGGTAAATACGTTTTTCCTTAATTTTTATGTTTTTTTTCAAGGTGCTTTTAAAACTATTAGGAATTTTCAATTTTGACCTCCCGAATGCACCAACTAGACTCACTTTCCCTTCGAACAAGATACTGTTGAAGAAAATCTAAGGACTATTACTGCCCCAAATGGCGATGACAGACAAAAAAAAAAAAGCACATCATTGTAAAATCAATACATTCATCGCTCCGCTCACAATCTAAAAAAAGTGGATGTCGCTCTGCTGTACAGTAGGTTACAAGTGGGTCACTGTATAATGGATGCTATTAAATTTGAATTCAATGATACAATATCATTGTATAAGAAAAACGATTCTGAGCGAAGACGGTATGTCTAGGTATGTCTAGGTTTAAGACAAATTATATACATATCTATGGTATTAAAAAAAAAATTGACCTATAATAAATTCCAAATTAATCATATCACAATATCAATTTGGTACTTATAACACGTTATACATCAACATCAATAACAAACCCTGATACTATCATAGATATATAATAGTACACTTTAGAAGTTTCAAGCGGGTACCCAAGAATAATATTATATAATCACAACAAAATAATATGTAATTTTAATATGTTTTTTAATATGTAATTTCGTCCAAATTTGAACATAAAATGACTATAAAAATAAACTGTGATTGTATATTTTTTAGATTTTTCGGTAAGAGAATTAACTACTTACGTGGAATCTTGTTTTAAATTTTCAATCCTTAGCTATAAAAACTGAACATTTTAAAATTTATTAATTACAATGATTGATAATTTTCGATATTTTGATAAATGTTGTCAAAATTCGATCTTTAAATGCTTATAAAAAAAATTGTGCTTATGTATTTTTAAAATTTTTCAATTGCTATTGTAACAATCTATCAGGACCCTTGTATTAAATTTTTACACTTTTTGGCCCAACAGATAAAACTTTATTGATATTTATAGAAAAGAAAACTAAAAAAATTGAAAACTGAAAATGTCTGTAAACAGCTCAAAAAAAATCAAAAAATTTCAAAATTGTACAGTGTATAGAAAATGCTAATATAAACATTCAGTGAAATTTTCATGCATCTATAGTTACCTATTCGTTTATGAATAACAACAAAATAAGGAAATCGCTACATGAGAAATCGAGTGAACATCCAATGTTGTAAAAATTTGAATTCCAAACGCTCATAAAAATTTAATTTGACTGTCCGGTAGAGATTTTTTTATTGATAAAGGTAGACAAACTTATGAGTAATCTTGTATTTTATTTTCAAATCTTAGATTTCAAAAGAAACATTTTTACGAATTCTTAACTCAAAATAATTTGCTAATTTTCGTGATTTTTCCATATTTTGTCAATTTTTGAACTTTAAATGCTTATAAAAAAAAAACTGTGACTAACGATTTTTAATATTTTTCATCTGCCTTTGAAACAATATACTAGGAGCCTTCTATTAAATTTTCAAGTTTTTTCAACCAACAAATACAATTTTATTGATATTTCTAAAAAAAAAACTAAAAAAAAAATGAAAAATGAAAATGTCCCTAAACAGTTCAAAATAAATCAAAATATTTTGAAAATGTTATCGTGTATAGAAAAGGCAAATATAAACAACCAGTCAAAATTTCATGTTCCTACAGTCATCTGTTTTAAAGTTACACCAAAAACCAAATTCGATTTTGTCAAAAACCGATTTTGCGTAAAAATTCCCGTTTTTCCTTAATTTTTATGTTGTTTTTCCCGGCGCTTGTGAAAACTATTGGGAATTTTAAATTTTGACCACCCCAATGCACCAACGATATTCACTTTCCAATCGAACAAGATACTGAAGTCGAAAATCGAAGCATTTTTTCGACAACTTATCGTGTACACAGACACAAAAAAAAACACACATCATTGTAAAATCAATACATTCATCGTTTCACTCAGAATCTAAAATGTAAGTAATGTATTATATAATACATATTATATAAGCTAAATTACTATTGTAAAACTTGAATAAAGAATACCCCTTGTAAGTTAAACCTTTTTTTTATACCCACCTACCTATTACATTTTATCAGGTTACACTTCTATAGCCAGATAGCCTCATATTAATATATTATTTAAGTTTTTAAGAACAAATGTTTTAGGGTTAAGGATGATTCTTGTTACTTTTTAGCAATATAATGTACAGAGATCAAATAATATACATTATTAATTCAACTCTAAATAAAATAATTAATTAATAATTACTTGCTAGTTTGCCAAAATACCTAACAGTTAGTATTTAGTAGTTGACCAGCTTCCACACAAAAATAAGAGTCACAAAAAATTAGTAAAATCCTGTCCATTTTAGAGCAGTTTGAAACTATAAAAGAAATTATTTTTAACAAAATGTTTTTTTTTGTTTATGTCACGTGTGATAACATTAACCAATAATCATATAACTAAAAAATATATAATTTAATATCAATAAATGAAATAAAATAAAATAATGATTGAAATTGTTAATATTTTAAACACATAATTTGTATAACATTTAAATTTTAAATACCATAAACATAAAAACAATAAATATTTTATTAATTTAACCTCTGATCTTTAAGTACATTAAAAGCATTGATGAATAATTGAAAATGTCCTACTTTATAAAATTTAAAAACTTTACAGTAAGGAATTCAATTAATTAAAAACAAAAAATAATAGAATGTAACCAATGCTAATTGAGATCTTTGTTCATGATTATGACATTTATTAATTATTAGTGATAATTTCATAAAAAATCTGAAATCATATTATACAAAATAAATCACCAAGAAATAAAAATAGAACATAATAGACAATACTGTTTTAAAACTGTCAAGATGTTATAATTAATAAATGTATTCTAAAAAAAAAATTTAGATAATCAATGTCAGAATGATTTAATTTATAAATATAATTTAATAACAATGTCAAATACAATAACACATTAAGAAAAACTTTTACAGTGGTATTCTGTTGAGATACATGTTTTATAAAAACTAGAGATATCTTATTAATTGATTATTCAGAACTCAATTTAAGTAATATATTTTTATTACACAAAATAAATTGTACATGGTCAGTGGTTCCATTTACTTCTTTGAGATGCTGCATCTGTTAGAGGAACGTAGATCACATCCATCAGCTTTTTCCTGGATATTGAACCATCTAATTTCTTATCAATCACTTCCAACACTTGGTCTCCATTTTGTGGCCCAATTGGTAATACAAGACGCCCACCCGGTTTTAATTGATCAATTAACTAATGAAATACAAGTAATACAACACATTATTCAAAATAAAATATTATATTTAAATCTTGTAACAAAAACATGAACATTTTATTGTAAATATTACAATGCATAGTATATATTTGTTTAGCAATAACACTATAATTTTAGAAATATATTAGCTTTCACCAAGGTATGTTGTATGTATCAACTATATTGACACACATACATTTAAAAAAAAAACTTTGAAAATGGTAAAAAGTGTAATAAGTTTAAAAAAAAATAGATGTATCATTGGAAAGGTATTGTTGTAGATTGATGACTTGCACAAATAAATTTATTTTTACAGATAAAGGTGGGTAAAATATGAAAAATAGGAATACATAAGTGGCGCCTGTCCAGTAAGATAAAATTTAAAAACAATCTTACAAAATGTTCATATGAATAAAAGGAGAAGCACAAACAAAGAAGCTGCGTACAATCAGATATGCAAAATTTTAGAGCTTGGTTTTTATGGACAAATTTCAACCAATGGACGATACAAGTTATAATTATTAAATTATATTATTATTTATTATTAAAATGTTTACCGGTTGTGGAATTTTTTCAGCAGCAGCTCCAACATGTATTGCATTATATGGCGCATATTTTTCTAATCCTAGTCGTCCATCTCCAGCTGTAGCATTAATATACTTTTATTAAATTCATAAAAAATATGTTGAAATGTATTCTGATATTTTACTTTCTAAAATCACTCTCTGGAAATTCAATAGTTCTGGATTATCTTTTTTTACATTTTCCAAAGATTTTTCAACAAGTTCAGGAATATGATCGATGCCAACAGCTTTTCCATTTTCTCCTAACATTGTAGCCATACAAGCAGTTAAATATCCAGATCCAGAACCAATATCTAAGGCTCGTTCCCCTTCTACTAATTGATCTTTCAAAAGTTCCAAAGCGTATGCATGCTAAAATTATACAATATATAAAATTATTTAGATAATTATATTAGGTAACATAATAGAGGTGTTCCGGGTACCCGATATCATATTCAGTACCCGACCAATACTCGTTACCCGGCGTGTAATTAAAAGTTGACTTGGACAGTACCCGGTGTACAGTTACATTTTTTCCTTGCAATATACCCGGTACCCGATTAATTCATTAATTCAAAAAAATGTGTCTCCGCAATCGACCAAACAAAAATATATAAGTTTTGCGATACATATTATGCAAAACTTTCTAAAAAATTTAACCATCATAAAAAACACACATTCAAACAGTTAACAGATAATTTCCATCAAGTTTTGACTAGGTTTTATCTTTTAAAAGACATTATTATTTATTACTCGACCAGTACCCGAGACTCGGTTTGTTGGTAAAAAATCTACTTGGAACACCTCTATAACATAATACCATTGATTATAAATACTGTAATAAATACTATACATATAATAATATTTTAAATTACTTCTAAAACTATAAATTTATAAAATGTAAAATAATACTATAATATTATATACATTATAGGATGTTCTTGCATTGATAAATTCCCTGTTTCTTTAAATACTAAAATAAAAAAATTAACAGCTTGGCCTTTATTGAGGGAATTGTTTAAAGTCATACATAAAACTTCAATATTCTTTCAGAGCTATTTAACATTTAATTCACATAAACATAATAATATGCCTTATATAATACCATATGAGGTGCGCTGATTGTAACTCCATAGCCAATACTTTGTGGTTGATCTAAATATGGTGATGTTGATACATAATTGCCCCTATCAACGGCTTTCATAATTTTTTCTACTTTATCACTTTTAATAACATTGTTAGCTGAAAAAAATGAAAATTTTAAGACATAATTATCATTTGATAGTTAGTGAATAATATGTAATATTAAAATGGTAAAAATGTCTTGAAATCTATTTTTTATCCAGAATAGAGGTACATCAATTTGTGCATGAACTGAATAATAATATAAGTATATAACATATTTAAGAATTAAAAATAAACCAAGACAAATTTGATGGTATGAGAAACTGAATGTTAATAACTGGAGCCATCAATAAGTAATAATAATATTAAAATTTAAGATAATTATTTACCACGTAAGTTTTGTACAAGTTCAATATTATTTCGACCGTGAGATCTCCACGCCATTTGGAACCCCTTTGTACTTCACTGTTCCTAGTTCCAGATACTATGTCTATTGTCCTAGTGTCCAGTTCTATGCGTTTCGCTTTTTAACCTATAAATATTATATAAACTTATAAGATATGGTGTAATTTCTTCTGGGGCATTCACTTACTAATGAGACATGGAATAATTTATTCTATGCACGATGCACCATAAATTGTTCAATTTGATGCAGTACAGGACTGGCTCAGTCTGTGTGCACTAATGTCTTATGCTGTATGCACTATGTGTCTATGCAGTAGTTGTATGCAGTATGCACTAACACAATATTCAAATTATAAATTATTATTATTTGTACTAATATAAGTTTTTTTCAAAGAGTACACTGAGTATAGACTAGTTACTAACATAGACAAACACAACAGGAGTCAGGAATGCTTGCGTTTAATTATTTTAACACGATTTAACTATCAAAATTCAAAGTATTAAACTAGAATTTAGTATTATTTACTTTTTTTTAGTATTTAAGATCACAGAGATATCAGCTGTGTTAAGATATTTTGATAGGTGGATTGATTAAAAATTAAAATAATAAAATTGATTGCACGAACAACTGACTGCAGGCGCTCTCTATTTGTAAAATTAATGTAATGTTAGAATCTTAGATCATATTGTTTATACATTATTAATTACGAAAAATACTGTAGTGGTTACTTAATTGTATTTAGAGACAAGAGGACATTACCCATACTGTTGGCTCCGTCTTACACACTCACGACATAGCAAATTGTCGTTCACTAGTTTCAATAGTGTGCTGAAGGTGGATGGATATATATATATCCATATTGTGCTGTTAGTTTTGATACTATAAACTATAAAGTGAATTGGCATACTATAAAACCATAGATATATACAACAACTAGATAGCCGTCATTATAGTATTATACTACAGTTGTGACCAATATTGAAATCGGCCGCCATTTACAAAGCAGGCAATGTTTACATTTATTTATATACATATATACTATGATAATATAATTTTGTAAACATTGCCTGCTTTGTAAATGAAGGCCAACTTCGATGACAAGAACTAAGAAGGAGACGGCTATCTAGTTGTTGTATATATCTACATTCTACAAGTGCGCCCGCAGGATTAAATCCCACCCGGGGCAAGATAAAAATAATTTATAATCTAATATTAGTTATAGCGATATGCCGATATTGATATTAAAGAGCATGCAGTTAAAAATTCCCAGGGGAGGCAATGGCCCCCTTGACACCACCCTGCTGGCGCCCATGTACATATATGTATAAAACTTTTAGGTAAGAACGTTATTTGTGATTAAGAGCTACCGATTTTTCGAAATTTTTATTTTCTAACAAGATAATATGGGTATGCGAAATATCAAAAATTAAGAATGCTTATATCTCGCTTGAAAATTAAAATATCGAAAATAAGGAAACGCTTAACTGCTTAAGCACAGAAATGTTAAAAAATTGATAATAGGTCAAATCACTCTAATATCAAAACCACGGACTAACAAGTAACAGCAGTAAAGCACAGTAGCACACTGCCACACTATTGAAACTAGTGAACGAAAATTTGCCATGTACGTGTAAGACGGAGACAACAAATGCATGGGTAGCATTATCTTAATTATTTTTATTCCATAATTCCCTTAAAAATATATTCCAATTAATTCTTCTGGTAACCACTTTATCCACTAATCAATCCACCTTGCACTAAACATTTGATCCAAAAGTAATTTTTTTTTAGTAATTTTTTTTTACCATTTTTACAAGTTAATATCATAGAACTCAATAGAAGGTCTATGGTTTATTTAGCCATGTTTTTTACCAATGTTTTGTGGAGCTACAGTTGATGTCTCGAGTCTCGACCGTGATCAATAAAGCTTAATAATTACGGTCCAGAGTCCCGACTATATTAAGGCGGTAAACGGTTTTACGGAAATTCCTGCTTTTCTAGGATTAATATATCCTATACTATAAAATGATAATATTATAAATTATTAGATTAGATGAAAAAAAAAAGTGTTCGGATAATATTTTCAATTGACAGGGCGTCGTCGCCGAGGTTTTATGTTCAACACGTGGACTTGTCCGGGTAATCGAGACAACAATTGTTTAAACGGCGGCCACAGTTTATGAGGCTCATGACAGTTGGCTACACCACTCACGTTCCCACCCACCCACTACGAATCGTCTCCCTCGTGGACGGCGGGCCGCTTCCAATGAAATAAACAAATCCGAATTCTTTTACGCACCGCCGCCACAGACCGCGACACATAGAACCACGAGTTTCATTTGCGTGCCGGCCATTTAGTCGTCCCGTTCCGAGACACTCTGCCTGCTGGTAAATATTTTTTCAAATTCGAATAAGCATCACACGATATCGAAATGAGTGCTGAAACCGTAAACGCGTTGGTGTTCGACTATTTGAACTCGTTGGATCAGAACCTTGCAAACATGTTCCAGACCAAGACTAAAGCAGTGAGTATATGAGTTTATACTATGGAAACCACGTGTGTCTACGATTTTTTTTCGCCAACTATCCGACTACTGATGATATTTTACCTCGTATTTACACCAGGCATCCGAGTTGGCGAACGCTTCTTCGTTTTATTACGTTAAGATATTCGGGCAATGTAAAATAAAAATGATTTTAATAGAGTACTCATATTGAAGGTATTTATTAAATTTTTATTTTTTTTACACGTGGTATCCAACGTAATCGGTCTTATGATTTTATTCCATACTAAGATCTTGAATATATTATGATAGATGTGAATACACCTGTATAATATTTTGAATCTGTGTTGACCTTGAACTTCTAACTAACTCACACAGTTATTAGATCTTTATTCATAATTTGTCTTCAGATCTTTTTTTTGTGTAAAAGTATTATCTGTTTAAACATTTTGTTGTTAATTAACCGTGATGTATGTTTTAATAAATTTCCCATATTTTTTTAAATGATTACTTAATTTTCGATTTTCTTCTCATTTAAAAAGAAAAATTGTCTTGTTCATACTTAATTATTAGTACCTAGTACTACAACATAGAAATATATTATAATTATTTTTTTTTATTTAAAATTTTAGCCAAAACTGCAGAGGGGACAAACTAAATTGACCCAGCTAATAGATGATCATTTGAAGTATGTATTATCAATATTAATCATAAGTTATTACAATAATCTATTAATATAGTTAATTGAAATTTTAAAAATATTTTCAGGACTTCTAAAAAGACAATTAAATTGCAAAAAAAAGGACCTTGTAAGTTGAATATTTTATTTAAACAATTAGGTAGTTATTGGAAATATTACTTAATAATATTTTACTTATATTTTAGTTTGACTTACATACATTAGTGCTTGAAATAAAATCTTAACCATGATAACCTCTTATAAATATGAGTAGGTACCAATAATATTCACTATAAAATATCTGAAATGTCAGTCAATGTAAATTGTGTCCTTTGTTTTTTTGCTCTTGATTATTACTAAATGTTTATTTGAAACAATTATTATAAGCAAGTATTTTTTACAAAATTTAATACACCAAACCACTGAGTAATCATCCACAAATCCTCGGAATCCATGGACTACCAGAATAAACCCTGTGTAAGAGGATATTTAAGGTTAACTGGGATATCAGTTGGAAATTATGAGGGTTACTTGTGAGACAGGTTGAACAACGTCAACTGTATGATGTAGGTTAGGTTAGGTACGATTAAGAGGACATGGTACCCACATGTGTTCCCTCAGTCTTACACACTGTAGTACAACATAACGAATTTCTGTTTATCAATTTTGATATTAGAGTGATTTAAATAATTATTAACTTATTAATAATATAAGGATTATATATTTGTCACTACTTACTAATAATTGATAGCTGTTAAATCACTGTTAGCTGATTGATTAGTTTCTACACAAGAGTCGCCTTTTTTTTACAGCAGACTAGGTCTGAAGTATGCTTTGGCATCACTCAAAAAAATTTATAAGATAAGGGATAGAAAAGTAATGCAATCTAAATAAGGAAAATACAATTTTTTAACCATAATTATTGAAATAAAGTTAAAAAGAAATTAAATGCATATCTCAGTGAATGAATTACTGAATCTAATGATCATTTGGTTGACTCAATTTTTAATTTATTTATCTAGCTGTAGATCAAATAATTAAAATAAGTAATGGTAAAGCAGCCGCAGTCGCCGATGAAGAATCTGAAGAAGAAAGTTCTGAGGAGGAAGTTGTTGCACCCAAACCAAAAATTAATGACAAAAAAGGCAAGATAGTAGAAAAAAAAGAAGAAAGTTCTGAAGAAGAAAGCTCAGATGATGATGATGATGAACCACCAGTTAAGAAAGGTATCTATAACATCTATATTTTATTTGAAGTATCTTAGTCCTTGAATAGGTATTAAATGTAAATATAATAGTTGTTGAAACCGTTCAATCCTGTTTTAATTTCTTATTTAATTTACTGATGATAAAATGTTTGAAGTAATTTATATAGTAACTATAGCTTTAAATAATAACTTGTATTTAAAAATTAAAAATAACAATGGTTGTTTATAAATAAATAATCGTTTTGCAGCATGTATTGCTCCTGTTAAGAAGCCCGCTACTAAGAAAGAATCTAGTTCAGAAGAAGAGAGCTCAGAAGAAGAAACTCCTGCTCCTAAAAAGCCAGTTACTAAACCAGTTGTAATGCCAGCTGCAACTAAGAAAACTGCTGCAGAAGAATCATCAGAAGATAGCTCTGAAGAAGAAAGTTCTGAAGAAGAAAAGCCTGCAGTCAAAAAAGCCCCTCAGGTACCTGTTAAAAAGGCTAAAGAAGAAAGTTCCGAAGAGGAAAGTTCTGAAGAGGAAGCTGTTGTTAAGGTTCCAGCCAAAGGTATAAATTTAACTTAATTCTTTACTAAAGTTTCCATTTGATATAATTATTCAAATCGAGTGTTAAACTTTTTATATTTTTATCCCAACTTTGTGTGAAATGAATTTATTTTAAAGATTAAACTAATGTATTATACCTAATAATTATACATTTTTTGTCAAATATATATGATTTTGAGATATCATTTTCAGTTGCTGCTAAAAATGGAAAGAAAGAGTCTAGTTCGGAAGAAGAAAGTTCTGACGAAGAAGATACACCTGTAGTTAAGAAAGTAGCCGCAGCGCCAGCTGTGAAAAAAACCCAAGAATCTAGTTCTGAAGAAGAAAGTTCTGATGAGGAAACTGTTGTTAAAACTCCAGCGAAAGGTTTGTTTTCAACATTTTCCATATTATAGCAACTTCAATTTTATTTTTTATTTTTAGCTCCTGTTTCTGCAAAAAAAGCTAAAAAAGAATCTAGTTCTGAAGAGGAAAGTTCAGAAGACGAAACCCCAGCTACCACCAAACCATTAAAAAAAAGTAAATTGTTTTTATTTTTTTTATCTTGGATTTTATTTTTTAACTTATATTATTTATTGTATTTTAGCTGTTACTAAACCAGTCGTTGCTAAAGAAGAAAGCGAAGAAGAAGAATCTGATGATGATGAAGATGAAGAAGAAGCAGTTAGCAAGACTCCAAATAGTCAGGTAAAATTTCACGATCTTGTTTCAGAAAGCTTGCTTATCAGATTTTATCATTAATTTTTTTTATTTGAAATTGAACAGTGAAAATCTAGATATTTTTTTTAAAAATTCAACTTATTACATATTTTTAAAATAAAAATACCGGAATTTTTAATAATTGTCTAACATCATAATCTTTAACCGGTTTCACTGTATTTATTTACTTTTGTATCTATTCTGTTGACAATATTTATATTATTTTATTGCAATTTAAAATCTTTTTTATTTTATTTAGATCAAAAATCAGCCGTTTGTTAAAGCAGCGAATGGAGATGTAAGTAAATCTTAATTTTTCCTATGTATTAACTATTTTGGAAGAACTTGTCTAAGGGATAGGGTTGGGCCAGGTACATACTTTATATTACTACATACTGCTCAATATGTAAATTAAATATTAGTTAAAATGTATTTTATTTAAAAATAAATCAATTAAACGATGATTTTAGAATAAATTATTAATGGGAAACATGGAACAATTTGATACTAGTAACAACTCTTTTGATACTGGTAACAACTCTTTTGGCTCTGATAAAAAGAAAAACCAGCAAAATAGACGATCAGATCCTTATAGACGTGTCCGTGATGATAATGTCAGTGTTGATGGACGTCTTTTGGATAATTCACTAAAAGCAAAGGTAAGGTTAGCCTTGATTTTTGTGGCTAACCAAACTGGCGCATGAAAATAAATTCATAAATGTAAAATAACTTAGAATGAATAGTGGTGTTTTGATTATAATTCTTCCAAAATAGTACAAATGCTGTTTTTAATTAATTGATATTTTTCATGCTCAGTTTGGAATAGTTCACTAATTAATATTACTCCCATATAGGATGAAAATGGTTCCGGCAACAAATGGGGTGAAGACCGACAGGGCGGTTTCAGAGGTGGTAGAGGCAATAGAGGAGGATTTGGATTCCGAGGTGGTCGTGGAGGCCGTGGGGGTTTCAATCGTGATGATGATCAAAATGGAGGAGGAAGAGGTGGTTTTGGTCGTGGTGGGGGTGGTGGTCGTGGAGGTGGGTTCAAACGTAAATTTGATGACTCTGGTGAAGGGGAAGGTGAAGGCGGTGGCTTCAGAAAGAGTTTTGGAAGTGGAGATGATAATGGTGGAGAACGACGTAGTTTTGGAGACAAAAGAGGATTTGGTGGTAATAGGTTCGGTGGTGAACGAGGAGGATTTGGAGGTCGTGGTGGTGGAAGAGGATTTGGTGGCCGTGGTGGTGGTGATAGAGGTGGAAGAGGCTTTGGTGGACGTGGTGGTGGAGACCGTGGCAGGGGTGGTCGTGGTGGTGGCGGAGGAGACAGATATTTCAATAAAAGTTTTGACTCTAATAGTTCAACACCTCAAAACAAAAAAATTAAATTTGATGATTGAGTAAGTAATCATATTTATTATACTCGAGAGTATAATTATTTGTATCTTGCAAATTAACTTTTACCAGTTAATTAGTGATGTTGTGCCAAGCATTTATTTTTACACAGTAATCTAATAGTTTTGTATTTTCAGAAAGGTCAATATGAAAATTGGGGTAAGAAAGCTGCTCTAGACTTACAATACACTAAAGGAAAATCATTTAGACATGAAAAAACAAAAAAAAAACGTGGCTCTTATCGCGGTGGTCAAATCGATGTAGGTGTTAATTCCATTAAATTTGACGATTAATAATATAATCGTTATCAAACCGTAATTTTTTATTTTTTAACATTGTTGTTTTTGAAACAATTCCTATCATTATTACAATTTCATTTTTTAACTAAATATAAACAAGAGTTTGTAATTGCATTTTCTTAAATCTTTTATTAATAAATAAACTAGATTCGTGTATTTTAAGTTTAGAAGTAAGATTTGTATATAATTAATATTTAAGTGACTGTAATTAAAAGTTATGTATTCAATTTTGAATTAAGATATAATTTTAATTATTATTACATTACCTCATTTAAAAAATTTAATGTATGTTGAAAAATATATTTTTTTGATAAAATATAAGTGGTACCATAAATTTAACTGTTATTGATTTTCTATATAAATATAATAGATTCTACCCACATTCGTTTCCTTAGACCATTCTTGTAACATTGTACTTCTATATTTTGACTTAAGTGTATTATTTTAATTTTACCTGTTTTGTAACTTAAAAATAACAATTGGCGTTTTTTTTTTTAAATGAATACTATATTAAAATTGTATACTTAATTACACTCATTGCTAAATTAAGTTAGTCCTAACTTTTAAGATTGTTGGTGTACCTAATTTAACAAATGTGTGTCGTGTCCTCCTTAAGTTTCCAATGGCTTGAAATGAATGTTCTAAATAGTTCATGAGTTTTCAATTTGTTACTCATGTATAATTTATAACTAAATAGTAATGGCATTTTTCATGTGTTGAATATATTTGATACAAAGCTGTATAAAACAATAGTATCATGAAAATGCTACTGGTCACTGGCGTCTGGAATCGCAATGCTCCTTTGAACTTTATTTTAGTTTTGTGTAAGACCTAACATTAAAAAATGCTAGCAGTGGAGGAACATTATAATGCATTTTTTTATAAATTTTAATTCAAAATAATTCGGAATGATTTAAATTATAACCCCTATCTATCAATAAAATCTATAAAAAAGTGGATAACTGCAACATTTACTAACGTATCAGACATTGATTAATTACTCAAATTCTACAACTCGTACTAAAGCTCAATTATTTTATATATAAGAACCTTTTATCCTTCTACCAAAATGGTGCGACTAGTATTTCGATTTTTGTTCACAATACATCAATTAATTTTAAAGCAAAAACTTTATGTTGGAACCACTCACACTATGTAAAGCTCTATGGTGCAAATAAAATAATCATATAATAATATTTTACTGCATGGTGTATAACGGCTGTGGGTCAAAGGGGCTCGGAAGGCCACTGGCCAGACCTGTCACTACAGTGATGTTTACAGGATTTTTCAATGGGATGGGCTTGAAAATTAGTTATAATTTTATTTTTATTTTGTCCAGTCTTATAATTTCAGACATTTATTTGAGGTATTTTAAAATGTTTCTAACTTTTCAACTTTTCTGGTAGAAAAAATGCTCTGAAATCTGATTATAAGCTTCGATGCCCAGCGTATGTTTTTGGAAGCAAATTGGACCTAGTTGGTACTTTTAGGTCGAAATTGAAAATGCTCAGTGCTTTTAAAAATAATTGGAGAAAAAAAAATCAATTTAAATGTTTGGTTATACCGTCTTCACTTAGATTGTATTTGAATAATTAAATTTTTATTTTTCTATAAAATATGTCCACAAAAAATTATTTATCCGGTCAAAAAGCTTAAAAATGTAATGAGTAAGTTTTTTTTATAGCTAAAATATTAACGGTACATATGCATCATGGTTTTTTTTATGAGCATTTAAAGTTCAAATTTCGTCAAAATCACAGTTAATTTGTAGTTCAAAACTTATAAAATATATATAGCTAAGGCTAGACAATTTAATACAAGGTCTTTCATACAAGTAGTTCATACTTTTACCGAAAAATTACAGATAATTTATGAAAATTGGTATGCAAATACTGAAATACAATGTTTTTCAAAAATTAATTCATTCTGGTAAGACATATATGAAATTTACGTCTTGCTTACTATAGACTATAGTTGACAGTTTAACTTAATTTACTTTACTTAATTAACTTTATAATATTGTTTTGAAAAAGTAATAATGATACGAGCAATGGGGGGAGGCTTCAGCCCTTTACCCCCCCCCCACCCCTGATGACGCAACTGTGTCACTAGGTCATAATATAGTGTTGACTGTTGGATCGTTTGTCCTACTGTTGTTGGTTATAAAATATGAACTGCTAGTAATTTATAATCAATAAAAAAATATATCCAATAGCCAATAGGTATCTAAAATTGGGGTAGTGGGCAGTGGCTACAACTGGTATTAGGTTAATGTCATATTATGATGTACTTAAAAAGCAGCAACTAAAAAATACCATTACGGTATCCCGCAGTCCGGTTTTTATCCTTACCTGCTGTAAGGCACTATCTATGAGATATAATTTGAACTTTTTTGAATTGTTTTTATACACGAACTCCCGCTCACGACATCCGCAAATTCAGATTATGTCAGTTTTTGAGTACCTATGACACTATGAAAGCCATTAGATTTTGGCTGATGGACACAGTACGTCAGTACCTAACCATTCTTAACACCTTAACGTACAGTATATTATATTTTTTTTGTAGTTTTCGATATCATGGTTGAATATTCCCGCTCATCCACCGACAGCAATGGTTCTCAAAATCATGTGTAATCTATAATCAATATAGATTGCAGGTTATGGGTAATTTGGTGTTTTTTGTTTACCTATAAATTGTTGATAAAATTCTTAATCGACGACACAATAAATGATACCCATAATATTATAGGTATAATAAAAATTAGAAAAACTGGGTGAAATTGTATTGTTTTTCGTTTGCATTGGCCCCGCTATCCGTTACAACCGTTTCGACCAAAAGTAGGTAGTAATGCATTGCTGTGTGCTGAACACTTTATGACATTTATGCGGAATACCATTCAGATTCAAATGACCGATTGGGTATGGCCAAAGTCACCAGGAAATGGGAAATGTTCCCTGGTCGAAACCGATTCTGCTGTGACGGCCGGCTCATGATGGCACCGCATGCGGCAGTGTTCTACATCAATGTGATACTCATCATTGGCACGAGCGTCCTCTTCTTTATATTCGAGTGAGCCGAGTCGACGCCATACATTATATTCTGCTTGACCAATATCTATGATGTGACAAATTATTTACCTATTTTTTGTTGTTCTAGCTGTCCATACCTTAGCCGTCGTGTGACTCCTGTGATTCCAGTCATTTCGGGAGTGTTGTTTCTCTTTGTCATTGGCTCGTTGTTCAAGACTAGTTTCACGGACCCGGGTATTATTCCCAGGGCGACTGACGACGAAGCCGCTTACATCGAGAAACAAGTTTGTAAGTTTGATAACATTTTATTTTTGAATTAATATTAATGAAAGTCTTACCTAGACATAGCTGTGCAGTGACTCTACCATATTCTTTGGTACAGTCCAATTTTTAATATTTTAACTCTCAAAGTAGTTGCTTAGCAACTATATATAACACTTTATTGTAGTGCATTTTCATATTGTTTTTTTGTGAGGTTTTGTTTAAAATTGTTGATGCCATGATAGCAGTGGTATATCGCACATACAAGGGGTATGTTTTGTGGATAGACATTTCCTTTTAACACATATTATATAAAAGTTATTTGATATTAAGTATAAAAATATTAATATCATACAAGAATGTCTTGAATAACCGATTGTTTTCATAGAAATGTGTATTTATTTTCCACGATTAATAAAATTGAATAGCATATGTATTAGTGAACAAAATAATTTTGTCAAAAAAAAATATTCATAATTAAGCAATGATCGTCAAACAATAATTTTATCATATTATAACAATTATTATTTTCTATTAAAATTAATCTATATTTACAAATGTTTAGTCAATCATCAAGATACTATTTAATCAATCATATATCTCTAAAATTAGTTATTTTTATATTATTATATTTTTTTAATCTATTAAATAAAATATAATATTTTTAATGGATTAAAATTTAGACATTAGTATACCAAACAATGGAGGCACCCCTACTATACGACCACCTCCTAGAACCAAAGAGGTTGTCATCAAAGGAAATTCAATCAAGTTAAAGTATTGTGTAACATGCAAGATTTTTAGACCGCCAAGAGCATCCCATTGTAGTTTATGCAACAATTGTGTTGGTAAGTTTTATTAAAATGTTTAGTATTCAATTGTATAATACAATATTATTTATTGGTTAAGGGTGTCGGAGCCTTTTGTTTAAGCACAAAAAAGCACAAAAACTCACCTCTCAGGAAAAACCAACCATTTGTGTAATAATCAAATTTTAATAATTTTATTTTTTTTATACAATACAGTTTTATTGGGTGCGGAACTCCGATTTATTACATTTTCAGAAGCTGTAAAACACTACTAAATAACACAAACTCAGTGGTGTATTGGTAAATAAATTTATGGGTATATGCACCTAAAAGTAGTTGAATATACCTTATATAACTTCTTTAAAAAATTTTCTCAAAAAATCACTATGCTTAATATTTAATAATCTTTTATTACTTTATTACAAACACTAACCTTTCATGTGTTTATGTATATACAGTGGCATATACAAGATTCACTCTATATTCACCCCCCTAAATTAAGAAATGAATTCCTATATACGCCACTGTGTGTAATATGTACCAAGTATCAGTATCTAACTTGTTATTTTTTTTTTAATTAATTCAATTCATGAATATCATTAAG